TAACTATTTTGTCTCCAGAAACATGACTTTCGTTTTCTCTCTTCTCGGGTTTTGGATGCCGGCTTCTCATCCTCCAGCATAGATGTTGGCTGGGCATAGGGCACAGTGCAGAATGCCCAGCTCTCTGGAAGCTTGCCCTGAGTGGGAGCACCCCAATCTCATGGCCCCACAGCACCCCCAAACCACAGCGTGCTGACTCCACCCTCCCTCCTCCACCCTATGATGTCCTGACCAGCTCCTTTCTTTCCTATCTTTATAGGACACATAGGTCTCCACCCTTGAAGGAGAGCAGTAGAGGTGGCTTGCATAGAGAGGCTCTAGGACACTGTGGGGCAGAAGCCAGAGCCTCAGGCCAGAGTTGCACCTTTTCTCCTATCCTGTGCACAGGAACACTGGCCCTCTGCATCTGACCCTGGTGAGTGTGGGCAGACAGGGCTGGGAAATCCTTTGCAGCTCATTTCCAAGTGTAAAATGCAAAGTCCCGGTTATGTCACCTGTCTGTAGAGAGTGTGGTGTTCAGGGTGGGTTGAAGATGTACAGCCTCTGATTTCTCCAAATGTGTGAAGGTGAATAAGGTTGATGATGTTGGGTGGGTAAAAATGTTATCAAATAGTGGTTACCATAAGTGGGAAAGAATTTTCTTAACACTGGAATTGTAAAGGACCTGAAAATTTATTCTTTTTATTTATCTCATGATTTAAAACTTGTCCAAAAGTCTTTAGTTTGCTATGCAGATATTCATCAACTTCTTACAAGTCTTACTCACCTAGTGCGTAAGGTTAGGGGAATTCCATGGAAGAGATATTAGTTTGGGGCCTGACTACTGGGTCTGCACAAAAAGTTTGTAAGATTGGTAGGTGGCTCTAGTGGTTAGTAACTTTCCAGCTGCAGGGTAGGGAAGCTATCTTTAGCTAGCATAAGGCTGTGTGGCGCCTGCTGCTAAGTTAGACCCTGAGTTGTGGTTTTTCCTGATAACTGCTTTCTCAGATCCAGCCAGCTCCAGCAAACTGAAACTAAGGTCTAGTCTCTGGAGGAGCCACTAGAAGAGCACGTCAGTGCACTTCTCTGGCTCCTTGACCCTCTCAGAAAATAAAATACAGACTAGAATGGAGAATTTTTGTGAGAAAGAACATCAGAATGAACATAAATACATTTAGGGGCCCTCAAAGCTGAATTGAGTTAATTTTAAGTGATTTATTCAGCTTTATTTGATGTGCATGAGTGTTTTGCTTGCATGAATGTAACTGCACTACTTGAACACTTGGTGCCCCTGGAGGTCAGAGAGGACACTGGATCCCTGGAACTGGAGTTGCAGACAGTTGGAAGTCCCTATGTGGGTGGGAAATGAAACTCAGGCTCTCTTCAGGAGGAGTGTGTGCTCTTAACTGCGGAGCCATCTTTCCAGGCCCTTAAGTTGTATTCCTGAGATCATAGCAAGAAGGGGCCAATCAGTGTCCCAGCTCAGGAACAAGTAGGGGAAAAATAGTGACTTTTCAGAGAAGCTTCTCCTGGCCTTTGCTTTTGAGGGAACATCTTTTATGTGTGTTAATTTGGGTTGTAGAGGAGACTCAAAGAAAGGCTATGCCTAGAACCATCCCATAATGTCAGAGCAGTGGCTCTGCTAAGGGAAACTGTAGTTGTAATTTTCCTTACCCTGTTACAGACACCTTGATGAGCAGGTCTTACTTAAAGATGAACCAAGGTTTTCTATAGGTTATGTGAATTTTGTGTTCTTTAGGAAGCAGTCTCAGGGATTTACCCCGAATGTAGGGTACTCTACATCAATCATCAATCAAGAAAATGCCCCACAGTCTTGCTAATCTGATGGAGGCAATTCCTCACCTGAGGATTCTTCTTCCCAGATGACTCCAGCGTGTGTCAAGCTGACAAAAGCTACACTTCCTGAGTTACTGCTGTCGACTCCTTAGAACTACAGGAGTTATTTTCTCCTGAGCTCTTGTCATTGTAGCTTTCTGTCTCCTTTGTGTTTTTATTTTCCTGTGAGTGTCTTCTTCACTGCTGCCTCTGTGGTCAAGCTTTACTTTAATTATGTTCATCTTGAAGGTGTTTATAAAGGACAAATTTGCATGTAGTCACATTGGTCATTAGTTCTTTTCTTTGAGTGCTCAAACACACTATTACATGCTCTGGCCTTTAGCATTTTTGTCAAGGAACGTGCGGCTGTTCTGGTTGTTTTGCCAATCGGGTACATGTTAGTAACTCGGCTCTTCTCTTAATAGCTTCCAGCATTCTTTAATTGTCCTGAACTCTTTGACCTTTACTAAGAGTGTGACAAAACAAGAATATTTTCTGGTCCTACCCATGTGGTGGTGTAAATTACCTCTGTACACAGACATCCTTATCTTTCTATAGATAAAGGGTATTTTAGAATGTTTCTTGAATGAATAGGTTTTCTATTTCTTTTGTCTCTGTTTCAGCATTCTATTCTAATAAAAAAAATTCCTGTTTGGTCTGTCTGTCATGTCCTGGAGGTCATCTTATGATCAGCTTTTTTTTTTAAGGTCAACTTTTCTTTATTCCTATTTGAATGCAATAACTCATTAACTTTGTCTTTGAAGACCTGGTATTTTTATCGTTCACTTAATTTAGTCTATTCTTGATTCTTATTCTTGAATTTTAAAAATTTATTTGTAAACTTTTCCAAGATTTTCATTTAGAAATTCTTTCCTTACTTATTATTCTTATCCTATAATTTTTTTTTGCTTATTTCCTTCAGTTGTCTATATGTTTGAGGTTGAAATTATTTTGTTAACCTCATGAATGATTTCTTCAGTGGTCTACCTAATTAAGTGTGCTAAGATTCAGTTCCTGACACTTTATGATCTTTTGAGGAAGTGGTATAACCTTGTTTCCTCTTATTCTTGTGTTTTGTTGTTGTGGTTGGTGCACCTGTGGGAGTGAGTGTGTTTTACACATTGATTAGGATGTGTACAGTAAACATTCATCAAGAGCCTTATCCTCAGCATTGGTCAGGATGGAGAAAACAAACCTCAATAACAGCAATACCAGAGTCATCTTCCCCAGAGTTATCACAATGGGCATAATAGAAGTAATGGGAAAAGCTAATTCATAAAAAAACCCCATAATGTTAGAAACTAATAAAGGTACAAACAACAGTAACAACATAATTGAATAAAGGATGTATAGAAAGAAAGGTTAGGAAAAAATAAAAGAAGAGGAAGGAGAAAAGAACAGGAGATTAAAAATATAGTTACAAAGTTTAATATGTGTAAATAAAACAGATAAACCACAGACCGGTGAGCCTGACCCGTGGAAGGCGAGGCAGCAGAATCACAAATTTGTGGCCACGTCTGAACCAAAAAGACTCTGCCTCACAGCCAATAATGGCAAGATTAAGTAAACACAGCACAGAAATTTTTGAAAGATTAAAAACTTTTTACATCTTAAAAATGTAAAAATAATGCACTACATGAAAATCACACAGAACAGTTTAGTGTCAGGGAGACAGAGACTTGGAAGAGCCTCTCTCTTGATGCTCTCATAGAATTTGTCAGATCTGGGGCATCGCGATGACATTGGTGTGCATCATTCCAGGTTGGTGCTGTCGATGGTACACAGGTGTCATAAGAAGCAAAGCGTCATTCGCTCTAAAGACCTCCCATCTTTGTATAGTCTTCCCTACTGCTAGCCAAGAGGCCTGTGGTCCAGGTAGGCACTTCTATTTGTGGGTTTGACTAAACAAAGCCATGTCTACCAGATGCTATGAAAGAGGCGGTGATGGCAAAGAAAGCATGGAGTTCCACAATGGAGAGAAGTTTTAGGAGCTGAGCTGTTTGCCTAAGCATCTTCAGATCCTATCCAGCAGCAAACTATCATGCAATAAGGAAGAAGCTGGGGAAATTGAGAAACCCTTTCACTCAGGTTCCCAGTTCGCAGCCCCTGTCTGTGCACACACATTGCAGCATGAGGCAGTTTCAGAAACTAAAGAATCTGCCAGCCACCTGCTCAGAACTCTCATGCTCAGCAGTCATGCAGAGGAGCCATGTCATTCAAGTTACAGGAGGCCAGGCTGTCTGTTCTTATTCCTCCACAGCCTCAGCTATGAATCTCTGCCAGTCACTGCTTCCTGCACTATGGTCTCTCATGGCGCTCTACCCACCAGTGTATCTCAGGGCACCATGACATGTGCTAGATGATTTTGGACCTCACCACAGCTCAGACTCAGAGAATAGAAACTCCTGGTTCTAGCACTGTGAGAGATGGAGTGTGTAGAGCTTGGTCTGTGCCCATCTGTGCTCCTTTGTACTACATAGGACAGGAGTTTTCAGAGTGCGCCTTACCCTGAGTGACTCCATTTATAGAGCAGTGGTTTGCTTCATTTTGAAAGTAAATTCTGAGGCAAAAATGACTCTCTATCTTGTGTTTGCAAATGCCCAGCACAGACAGTAAACATATGTTTATAGATAACTTATTAATACAAACAAATTATTCCTACCTATAAAATATCAAGCCAGGAACAGCTAGACCCATGGATGTTTGAAGACCTAGTTCAAGAAACCAAGCTTGGGTGCTTGTCTAAAACACCAGAACAATGAGCGCAGCAATGCCCTCACTGGGCTCAGACCCACTGAGCCATCATCAGCCCACCCCATGCATACATCACCAGAAAAAGGCAATAAATGCTCAACTCTGTCCCCAGGATGTCTGCTCATAGGATCAGCCCTAATTGAAATGACCCAGTTGAACTCCCATTTGTTCAGACCCCCATGCCTGCAGTCAGCTCTGTGCTTTGGAGCAATGTGCCCCTTGAGCCATTTCTATATCTTGAACTGATATTATGCTCTGAACCAACTGAGTATTTATTGGCCTCCCTGTTCTGCATGTTCATCTGATATGTAATTCTGACTTCTATGAATCCATCTGCACACATGTGCATGTGCTCTGTGTAATGAAGTTGCTTGTGTGGACCATCAACTTAATATTGCTGTTCCTTCTACAGTAAGGAAGAACCTCTCGAGATGTCTTCCAATAATGACCCTGTTGCAATTCCAGTGACAGAAGTAAATCCCAGTGACCATCCTGGAATGGACACCAGTGACCAGAACATATTGACTGGAGAGGCTGTGTTAAGTTTTCATAACATCAGTTACCTAGAAAGAGTGCAGCATGGATTTGCATGTTGTAAAAAAACAAGTGTGATAGAAAGACTATCAAATATCAGGTATGTACATGAACTAAATAGATGAGTATATTGAACAACTTTTTCAACAGATTCAGACTTTCTCATTATCAATAAACTATGTGTGTATGTGTGTTTGCATGTATGCATATATATCTGTTTATGTGTGTAAGTGTATATGTGAATATATGTGTATATCTCTGTTTGTGTATATATAAGTGTATGAATGTATAAGCCTATATCTGTTTATGTGTGTTTCTGTGTTTCTGTTTGTGTGTGTATAAGTGTATGTGTGCATGTTCACATGTACAGATGTGTGGATGCTATGGCAAACTTGTGGTACAAGGCTGTCAGAGGACAACCCTGAGCACTGGTCTTCACCTTCTACCATGTTACAGACAGAGTCCCTCATTGCTCACTGCAGTATATGCCAGGCCAGCAGACTGCAAGTGTCCTGGGATTCTCCTGCCTCTGTCTCCCATCTCTCCATAGAGCATGGAGTTACAGGTGCCCACACTTCATCCAACTTTATGTGAGTTCTGGAGGTTTAACTTATGTCCTCATCCACACACAGCAAACACTTCACCCAATGAACCCTCCCCAGCCTCACCTTGTTTGATCTCAGACAGATAAATACATGATCTCAGACAGATAGATCCACGATCACAGTGAAATTCACGCAATGGAGACTGAAGAACAACACAGTGGATGAATGGCACAAAAGCTGGTTCATTGAAAACACAAACAAACTTGACAAGCCCATAGACAAAATACAGAAAACAAAACAAAACAAAAACAATAATGAGAAATGGTTTTAATTCAATAAAATTAAGGATGAAAAAGTAATATAAAAGGCCTACTGTTAACATCAAGGAATATGAGAGATTATTGCAAATTTAAATTCTACAAATTAGAAAATCTAAAAGAATTGTGTATACATCTATACACACATCCCCTCCCTGAACTGAACTGAGCGTTTATAACAGGCTGACTGGGTCAGTTACCAGTGATGAGATGGAAGTAATGAGGAAGTCCCAACAGCAGAAAGTCCAGGTCCTCAAGTATTTGCTCAAAATTCATTAAGAGCTAAAAAGAGCTAAAGCCAACATTCCACACATTGTTCCATAAGATAAAGAAGTCATGCTTTGAGGGATGTCCCTCAATTCTAAACTGAGTGTATTCTAATTTCCTTATCAAGAAAGGAAATTTTCATTTTGTGGGTGTGTGTTTGGCTTTTCTAAGTTGATTAAGGCTGTTTTGTTTGTTTTTAGTGTTAAACTTGGCAACCCTCTCCTGTCCTATGAATCTTCTTTCTGGTCTTTGGATTTCTACTTAAGATGTATAGATTTTGGTTTGATTGTATTTTAATAGTAAGGACACTGCTACTGGTATTCTACAACTCTGTTTTTTTGCAACGAGGTCTACGAAGCAGCAAGCAGGGTTATATGAAGACACTGCTCATCAAACATTAGCAAGAAGCTGTTATATGCTCGGCACATAAAGGCCATGTGCGTAATAAAGTCCTCCTGAGATCCTGCTACTTGCTTCACGGACATTGAACTTAAATGCACCATGCTTCAAAAATGACAAGTCCTTAAATAATAAACAACAGGGGTTTTGTGATATCTGAGGCATTTTACTGATAGTGTAGTTTTTGTGAGTTTGTGTTTTTTTCTGTGTACAATTTCAATAGCATATTTAGTGTAGATCCTAAAGGAACATAACTTCTTTTAAATTGCAAATTCAAGCAGTATGATTTTGTGTTTACAGTGGGATCATGAAAGCTGGCCTCAATGCCATTATGGGACCTAATTATGAGAGCAGATCATTGTGAGTATAACAGACAGCATATGCAAGCCCTTTGTATCCACTTTCTGTGTTGCAAAATTACTTGTATAGGAATTACTTAAGTATTGTGTGAGTGTATCTAGTCAGGTCCTATGTGCTGTTTATAATGTGCAGGAGGATGCTTCCTAGTTTCATACCAAGAGCAGGAAGTCTTACAAGGTCACTTTACTGATAGGAAATGATAGAGTGATTGCTGTATGATGCTGGGTTAGCTTATTATTTAATGTGGGAGAGATAGTATCAAAATTAGAAAGATGAAGGAGAAGTTTTAAGGAGACAAGAAATTACTTTACCAATTTGAGCAGCACATTACCAGTTTGAGTCCCTAAGGTCAATTACCAGGGAGGGGCAGTCCTGTGGATCACACCTTTCTTTCATAATTCTGGGCTGTATTAGAGCACACACTGAACTGAAAGGAGTGTGTGTGTGTGTGTGTGTGTGTGTGTGTGTGTGTGACTTCAGTTAATCTTATGCAGAATTTTTATTCTGAGTATCTGAAAGCTGATAGCTTTTACTGAAGGGAGAAAGTAAACCACACAACATATGTAACCCTTGTAGGTTATTAGATGTCTTAGCTGCAAGGAAAGATCCACGTGGATTATCAGGAGATATTTTGATAAATGGAAAACCTCGACCTGCTAATTTCACATGTACTTCTGGTTATGTGACACAAGTAAGTGCTGGTGGGTTTGTAATTTTAGATTTCTCCTGCTTCTGTATGGGCAGATGCTCAGTTTATAGATATGTGTGTTTCCATAATTATACAACACATTTATAGGCTATGCTTCCTCTACATTGGCTTTTTACAATGGCTCATTAGCCTAAGATTGACATTATTTAGGAAGGTGGGGAGGGATTGGAATATGACATCTGTGGCACAGTATTGGTAACTGCAGCTGTGATTTAATTCTACAGAGTACTACAGTTGTCTTATTTTGCTCTTCCTGCATCTCTCTCCACTGCTTAGAAGATCCTTCTGTAAATAACTGCAGGTAGCAGTCACCAAAATCCCTCTGCTCTACTTGGAAGGCAAATGGAAGGCAGGTTCTCTACTTGAAATTAGTAAAATTGAAAGAATATTTTTCAGTAGAGTATTACATTGCATATGTTTTCTACGAAGATTAGGCTACATTTATTATAATGATTGTCTTAGTGATAACTGTATTTAATTGAAATACTATTTAACCTTAAGAATGACGTGGTGATGCACACACTGACTGTGAGAGACAACATAGAGTTCTCAGCAGCTCTTCAACTGTCAATGACTATGACAAGAGATGAAAAAGGAAGGCGGATTAATGAGGTCCTTGAACTTCTGCATCTGGATGAAGTGGCAAATGTTAAGGTAATGTGAAGAAAAGTCTTGAAAGACTCAGAGTCAAAATAAAAAATGACCATGATGATAATATGACTCAGTCGTCACTTTTCTATAAAGTGTGTGTCAATGTAACTATTGTGTGTATTAATAAGTGAGCAACTGGTTACATGATGTAAAATGGAAAGTGAGCTGCAAAGCCTTCTTTACAATGGCTAAACCTGGCAGTGGACTGTGATCCAGCAGGGAAAAGTGCTCCTCACGTGAGCCTCCTCTTCCCTCAGCCTTAAAATCTTAATTTTACAGAATTGGACAAGTGCTTTCTTCTGTTTATTGTCTCTTCCCCTAGAGGACTTGTCCCTTGTTGTTTCAGAACGTGCTTCCGGACAGACACAGGATGTGAGATGGAGAACTCTGGCTCTGCCTTCACTCTGCATTTATTTCCCTCCATTGTTGTCCTTGATCTCTTTAGCATTTACTTCTCACTTGCATAGTGCTTGTTATTTCCTGTACCTTTTTTTCTTGTGTTGTTATCTCATTCTTACTTGTAGTTGCTAGTTTTATCTGTGAGCTTGACACAGTTTAGTATCACCTGGAATCATCTAGCAGAGAGTCTCAGTGAGGAACTGTAGGCAGTTGGCTTGTGGGCATTCTGTAGGTGATTGTCTTGGTTAGGTTAGGCCATGTGGAAAGACCCAGCCCACTAGGGCAGCTCCATTCTTTGGGTTGGGTCCCGGGTGGCATGAGAATGGAGAAAGTGAGTAGAGCACTGACAGGCATGCGTGCGTTCACCCTCTCTGTGCTCTTGTCTGGACGTAACCAGCTGCAGCAGCTTCCTGCCTTGACTTCCCTACAGTGGTCACCTGTACTTTTAAACTGTGTGTTGAAATAAAACCTTTCACTCCCTGTTTACTTTCTGTAAGATCATTTTATGTTAATAACTAGAAGGAAACCTAGGATATGCTTTTGCTCTCACTCCTTCCTTCTCTATCTTCTGTCAATATTTATTAACAGCTCCTTTTGTCAGGATTTGATGATAGAACTTTGGGCAAGAGCAACAATGAATGGACCTGGTGATTCCTATGAGATTTGTGCAGGATCGGGAGGGGTAATAGATAAGTGGTGAACTTCACAGTTAACTATGTTAGAATTAGTTAATTTCTTACTAACCTATTTAAAAAAACTTTTATGTGATACTTCATTAATTATTCTTAATGTTTAAAAATTAAAGATATATGTTAGTTTAACAATCCCATTCTTAAGTATCAAAATTAATAAGTCTTGATATTCTCAGCCCTGTCAGGACTAAAACTATTTGCAATTCCATTTTTTATTGTTATTACATTGGTTATAGAACCTTATCAGCCATTTAACTTATTATATGCCTAGTGTTTTTTTTTTAACTATTAGTGGTGTTTTCCTCTTTTTGTCTCCTCCAAACCATCCTGCCTCCACAATGGCATCGACTCATTGAGTAGATTGTATAGAGATGTCTGCTGAGTAGACATTTGGGGCTATGGATGAAAATGGGCTCCCCAGAATATGATTTTTATGGATTAACTCCTGTGGTGTCTCCTCCTTAGAGGCAATGAGGAATAGGAAGGTACTGGCTGTTGATTCCCATGATCTTCCTCTACAGTTGTTTATGAGATGTTTGCCTTCTTGAAAGAATAATAGAAAAGCGGACATTTACCACACTTTCTTTTGTCCCGAGTGATGGAATTTTGTGGGCTTTGCTCTGTTTATTACATGGTTTTATGTTCACCATAAGGTTCTTTCTTTTGTTCTATTTTTTAACAATAATTAGTTATTGCACTAAGTTGTTTACTTTTACTTTTTAGAGATAACATATCAAAATACTTATTAAATTCTTGAAGTCATGAAATGTAATAGATTGCAAGAACTTTAATATAATTTTTAATGATAGTTTTCAAAAAAGGTGTGTGTGTATGTGTGTACCTGTGTATTTTTACGTGTCTGCCTAAAGGCCATAGCACACACATTTTCTTCTCCCACCTTGTTGGTCTTGTTCTGCTGAAGCCCTACACACATGAGTGATGATCCATGTCCCAACTCACTGTAATTCCATCTTGATGGAGTTCCACAGGCAATTCTATTGCTACCGCTTTATATGTGAGTTCCAGGGATTGAACCTAGGCTTCAGGCCTACAGGGCAAGTGCTTTTCCCTGCTAAGACTTCTCTTCAGCTTTTCACAAGATTTTGATTTAAGAAATATAGAGGCAGTATGTGGTTTCTGTCATACAGCCAGCACAATAGTACACTTGCTGATACCAGCACCTTGGCTTCTTCATGTTTACAACAGTATACTCATTAAAGTTGTTTCTCACTGTAGCATTTTAATAGAACATTAAGTTCTATCTTATTCCTGAGTACCTAATTACTTTTCAGGCATAAAAATCTGCTTACCTATAACTCTATTCTTAACTATCAAAATTAATAATTCTTTTATTTTCTCAGCCTTGTCATGGCCATACTCATCCTTTGATAGAGGAGGGTCATCTGGCTATGTGTTACTTTCATTGGTTAATAAAGAAACTGCCTTGGCCCTTGGATAGCACAGAAAATTAAGTAGGTGCAGTAAACAGAACAGGATGCTGGGTAGAAGGCAGTGAGTCAGTCACCATGAAGCTCCGGCCCAAGATGGACATAGGTTAGGATCTTCCTGGTAAGCTACCACCTCGTGGTGCTACACACATTAATAGAAATGGGTTAATCAAGATGTGAGAGTTAGCCAGTAAGAGGCTAGAGCTAATGGGCCAAGCACTGTTTAAATGAATACAATTTGTGTGTTGTTATTTTGGGTGTAAAGCTAGCCATGAGGGACAAAAAGCAGGCCTGCTCATCTCATCACTACAATCCTTGATGTGTGATATCCTTCTGTATATGTGTTGCTTTTGCTGGCAAATGAATAAAAGCTGCTTTGGCCTATGGCAGGGCAGAATATAGCCAGAATGGAAGAGAGATATAAAAAGAGAGAGTAGGTGGAGTCAGAGAGACGCCATGTAGCTGCCAAAGGAGATAGATGCCTGACCCTTACAAGTAAGCCACAGCCTTGTGTCGAATCACAGATTAACAGGCATGCATTAATTCAAGATTTAAGAGCTACACCTGAGTCACTGGCCAAGCAGTCTTTTAATTAATATAGTTTTTGTGTGATGATTTGAGTCTGGGAAGCCGGGAGCAAACGAGCAGTTTTCGTCTACACATCCACACCCCCCCCCAAACCCTTTTGTTGTATGTTGATTGTCAGGATAATGATATAGCAAAATATTTTATTACTAGGACAGGCTGATTCATCAAATAACTATGACTGTAGTTGTTCTTGTTACTAATGGTGATCATTGTTGCTTCAGCCTAGGTCTAAAGAACTTGAGAAAAGGACCAGTATAGCAATGGAGCTGGTCACCCAGCATCCCATTTTGTTCTTGGATGATCCCACCACTGGCTTAGACTGGAGCACTACTACTGATGTCATCTCAGTCCTGAGAAGGTAACTGATGAAGAAATATTGAGTTTTTTTCATTTAATACCTGGTCACTTGTGTGTATTTTTGGTGCAAAAGATTCAGAGGTAAGCTACAGAATTTCTTTCTTGTTTATTAGAAGGAAACAAACTTTAATTAACAAGGATTACACATCAAGATCAATGAGACAAGAGCATAGGGAGAGATGGTGAAGGTGCAGCACTGCTTTAAATAGCATTGTCCCCATAACACACAAGCCAGTGTCAAGAGAGCTGAGTGGGTGAGATCTGAACAGAGTGCTGGATGGAGGGAAAACACATTTGTTCTGAGGCAGAGCATGTTTGGTGTGTCTGGAGCATTAAAGAGACCAAGTTAACCAGAGCCCAGTGACCTGAGGGGATAGAAAGTTGCTAGTTCTTTGCTAAAGACAGCATAGACTGGATGACTTGATGGAAGTTAAATTCTTTAGAGTTTTGAATCCTGAAAGTCAGAGTGTCTGCTGAGGCCTGGGTCACTGAGTTGGTACCTCTTCCCTCCTCATGTGTCTATGCTCTGATCTCTTAAATGGACACCAGTTACATTAGGATACCCTAGCAATTTAAATGACACTTAATTACCTTTTAAAAGACTCTTCCTCCAATTATATCCACATTTAAAGTTCTTAGATGTGAAGTCTTCAACAAATGAGTCTTTGGAAAGATACAATTCAGTCCTCCACATTCCTAGTTGAAGAGAAAGGGGCTGGTTGGGTTGGATGTAGATTGCCTAGATCCCCTGGACCACTGTAAAGACTAAGGTTTTCCATGGAAGGAGATGCGGGGACGCTTCTGAGTTTATAGCAGAGCAACGCATCATGGAGAAGGTTATGCAGTTACACTATGGGGATGTAAAATGTCAGTAGAAGATGGAGATGTGGAGGTTCTGTTGCTAGGAAATAGTGTACTCTGTATAGCTTTGAATATAGAATAAATAGAATTATCTCAGGGATTGACCCTGGATGTGATGGCTGAGGGAATGATTGCTAAGATCTGGGTCCTGACCTGTGGAAGAATGAGTAAAAGCAATGGCACTTTCTTCTCTCAAGAAATAAGTCTGTGGCTGAAACATTTATACAAAAATGTGTAAGGGTTAGTTTTTTTTATTTTGAAGTATAATAAGAGTTCCCAATTGACTTAATAACCCCAAGAACCATATAATGACTATCCCATTCCCATAACCTAGGCTGCGGGCTGTTGAATTTACTGTGTTCTGTCTTTCCTTTTTCTTGTTCTTTCATTTTATTCTAACATCATGTTCTATTACCCTAAATACTGTTACCTGTCCCTCCAGGAACCAAGATCACTCTTTTGTTTTACCTTCCCAGTGATGAAGTCAACAACTGGGGCCTTGCCATCTTCTAGCCTGTAGACTCCTTAAGGGTCAGCACCTTCCCTATCTGTTCCCTTTCCAGTCTGCTTCAGGACACTCTCTAAGATTAAGTTCTTGCTCATTTTCCAGTATGGAATGCTGCTCTCTGTGCCTGTGTGTCATGATATTGCTATTCTTAGTGCATTGCATCGGGTCATCCCCAGTGTGGCTTCTCCCAGTGTTCTAGTTTCCAGTCTTAGTGCATGGCATGGTGTTGTCCCCAGTGTGGTTTCTCCCGGTGTTCTGGGAGCAGAATTGGGCCCTGATATGCTGTGTTCTTCTTGTATTTCAAACTCCTGGAAGTGCATCCTCCATAGTAGGAATATTTAAATTTTTTTACAAGTATTTGTGTGTGTGTGTGTGTGTGTGTGTGTGTGTGTGTGTGTGTCTATATGTATGTTGCATTGATGTAGAAGTCAGAGGAAAACTCGAGGGACTTGGATTTTTCCTTCCACCAAATGGTTTCTGGGATTTAAACTCTTAGCATCAAGTACCTTTGCCCATTAATCCATCTTGCTTCCCTGGCTTGAATCTTAATCATCTCATAGTGGTGGTGGTTGATAGGTTATATGATATGAAATTACAGTTTTTTCTTTTGTGATATATTAATAGTCTGACAGGAAAAACAATCAGCTCTTATGCCATTATTCTCTTTCTTTCTTTCTTTCTTTCTTTCTTTCTTTCTTTCTTTCTTTCTTTCTTTCTTTTTTTTACTTTCTGCTTAACTTCTCCTGGAAGCTTTACCATTCCAAACAAAGACACTTTGGTTTGTTTTACTTTATCCTGTGTGAATATATTCTAATTCTCTTTCATCCAGGAGAAGCTATCAGGATTTTATTTATTTATTTTTTTGTAATATAATTTTTTTGAGCTCCCAATGTCCCAAGGAGGAGCAGAAGGAAGGAGAATATGAGCAAAGAAGTCAGGACCACAAGGGGTGCACCCACCCACGGAGACAGTGAGGCTGATCTATTGGGAACTCACCGAGGCCAGCTGGACTGTGACTGAAAAAGCATGGGATAAAACCGGACTCTCTGAATATGGTGGACAATGAGGGGTGCTGAGAAGCCAAGGACAATGGCACTGGGTTTTGATCCTACTTCATTTTTTTCATTATTCTGTTTCTTATATTATCTCTACCGACCAGTCGTGGTGTGAATTAGTAACTTCTTTTCTTGTTTTAATTACTTCACAAACTGACATGGCATTCTGTCTGGGAAGGTGTCTTTTCTCAGTTCCTATTTTGTACAATGTGCTATAATATGTTATTCTTCATTATTCTAACTATTAAATCAACCACAGTTTGACTAGTGGAAGTTACTTCACTGTGAGGGTTTTTTTTTTTTTTTAGTTTTAATTTATTTTCTAGGAATTTCAAGTAATATACTCAATCTTTTTCTTTCTTTTGATAAGGATTCGTATATCTAAAATAAAATTTTTTAAATTAAGTTCTTTGAGGAGAGATGAAATAAGAGGTAAGAGCCCTGGTTGCTCTTCCAGAGGACTCAGATAACCTTCCCAGCATCCACGCGGCAGCTCACAACCATTTGTACCTGCAGTTCTAGGGGATCTAATGCAGTCTTCTCCCATCCACAGTCACCAGGGACACGTGGTAACAGACATACACTCAAGGCAATACACCCTGTAAAACAAATGCTTTTTAAAAGAAATGGTTGACAAATTCATATTTTTAAAATAAAAATTTACTTTCATGTAAAAATCACCTTTTATGTGATTCTGTCGGTGTGAGACACTGCCCAGGATTCCAAACTAAGTGCTGTGGTAAAAGACACTGAGGCCGCAGATCCTAGACCTTACTTTGAGGAAGGCTCTCACCATGTCTGCTCTCTGCTTTGAATCTTCGTAAGCTCCTGACTACCATCCTCCTAATGTTCCAGCTTACAGAAGAAGGGTCTTCCCACACCTAAGATGCTCTTCCTACAATTTTATTTAATAATATTTTAATTCCACACCAGTTATTTATCATTCTCTCTGTCCTTTTTTATCTACCTATGTCTTCCGCCCTGTCTCTACTTCTCCCTATACTCTTTGTCAAACACATTCAGGCAAACACAATCCTTTCTGTGTTTTCATAGTTTATTAGACAGACATTTTATTTTATACTCTGTACAGCTGGTTTTTCTCTTCTTAGCTGGTGGCACTTTGTTTTACCTTCTCACTGGGTTGCAAGTCTTTTCTCACAAGGAATCCTCCACTTCTGCACCACCTTGTGTTGGTATTACTGTCTGTCCTGGCTGTCTTTGAGGCAGACTATCATTTGATACAGTGACACCTCACAGCATATGCTTGTGAGACACTTGTCTTGAGGTTTCATAATTTGTCACTCTATTTCATAGCCCAGGCTGATCTCACGTTCTTGCCTCTGCCTTCTAAGCTGGAGCTCAAGGTGTGCACTGCACTTCACAGCTTTCTCATTCTCCTTTTCATTTCTTCCTCCCCTTCATCCTCTTCTCTCCTTTCCTTCCTTCCTCCCTGTTTTGTTCCCTCCTCTTTCTTCCTCCCCTTTGTTTCATTCTGTCTGTTAGTCTTTTTGAAATAGAATCTCCTGTAATCTAGGGGGGACTTGAACTCCTGATTATCCAATTTTTTGGAATGTTCCAGATATGTCACTATACCCAACTTCAATAAAAATATTTCATAGCAGTTTCAAATACTGGTTTTTGTTATTGGTCCTCCTAACAGAAGACATGACCTCCTGAAATGGTAGTTCAGCTTTTTCCTGCCATGGAATTAAATCAATGATCAAATTCCAAATTTGCCTCTTACTAACTGAGTTCCCTTTGTCTGTTGCTTGACCTTTTAAGTCTTATCAACACAAAGGGGAAATTATATTAGAAATGACTTATGCCAATATTATAAAAATTGAACTGAGGTTATTGCTGAAGTGTTTAGGGAGAGCAAGTGGTTAGGAATGTGAGTCACATCATCAGAGCAGTGAAATCCAATTCCTGAAGAGACAGAAAGTGTGAATGATTGACGAGAATTGTGCTTACAGTCACAGCTGTAATGTTTGCTCTGTCATTGCTTCTCAAGCTTGGGTGAACTTGTCAATCACCAGGGCTGCCTGCTCATGATATGGATCCCTGCACAGACTCCCAGATATTCTGATTTAGTGTCTGGAAGTCTGTGCAGAGATCTATGTGGTAACACTTGAGTGCACTAGTGATGGCCCACACTCTGGAAGTTCTAGACTTTTAAATAAAAGCTTTAACTTGGTTTCTCTATCAGGTGCATAGTACCAGGGAGTAAAGTTGTTTTTTAGGAAAATTCAAGCAGAAATGGGAACTAAAAGTATAACTTCAGGAATAAAATATTTTTTTTCAGAATCTCAAGGTTCAGCTGTCAAGAGACTTATGGTTTTTCCCTCTTTAACCTTAGGATGTCTATGAGGGGACAGACAATCATCTTCTCCATTAATCAGCCCCCGTACTCCATCTTCAGACTCTTTGACAGCCTCACCTTGGTGGCCTCAGGAAAAGTCATGTTTCACGGGCCTGCACAGGAGGCTTTGGAGTACTTCAAATCTGCAGGTATGGCTGGATTTGCTGTGAAAGCTCCTTCAGTCATGGGATCTGGAGAGAGAACAGGGGCTCTCAGGAATGCTGCTTAGCCTTCATTCAGACTTACTGTGTGTGGGCTTCTCCATTTTAAATATCAATGACAGGGTTCTGTTGCTTGTGCAGCATGGGCTTGTTGTGCAGGTCTCTTCCTTTCTCCTGTCCTGTATCATGACTGTGTTACAAGATTTTTACTGAGTCTCTTGTTCAGCTTCCCAGTTATGACCATCTTAATTACCATGCAGGGCTCAGGCCCAGTTATCCATCACTTGAACAGCTTTGGAAAGGCCTAGCATCATGTGTTCTTGCTCACATAGCAGATGGTGATTTTCAGTTTTCTCCTAGTGTGACCTGACTCTACAGAGCTGTGGAGACATTCCTTAACCTAGTATTAACTTTGCATTTCAGGTTTAGGCGATGCTTGGGAGCTATAGCTGCTCAAGTCTTTCTTCTGTGGACTCATGTTTTTGGTCTGCCTGTTTTTCTCTGACTGAAATTGGATGGTGAAATATTTTTTAATGGCTCATTTCATCAATTTCATCTTAGAGAAATATGGATTAAGTAATGGATGATTATCTTTGACTACAAATATAGGTTTAAATATTTGCTGTCCAGTACTCTTTCCTGTTGATTAATCTTTGTCATTAAAAAATGTGTGAGCATTTGTGCATCTATGGAGTCCAATAAAAATCTGGCCAAATTCTATTGATTCTTTCACAAGAAGAGTTCACATATCTATGTCTATGTTCATGTCTATGTTTAGTCTACCTCTGTTACTATATCTATGTCTAGTCTATTCATATGTATAGTTTGCATGTATGTCTAATTGTCTCTGTCTATGTCTAGGCTATGTCTACTCTGTCTTTGTCTGTGTATTACATATGTGTCTGTGTATATGTATGTATAGCACCAACATAAACACACACATGTAAACAATAGGCTGTAAAGCAGTGATTGCTGAAATATTATGACAGTATATATAATAGGATAGATAAGTAGAAGGGGAAGAGCAAGTAGAGGAGGAAATTCTTAGATTTTGTCTCCCCTCCCCTTTCTCACTCTCTGAAAGAGGATCCTCACATTTTTGTTCTTGGTCTGGATTCTTTGTAGGTTATGAATATGATTCCCACAACAACCCTGCAGACTTCTTCCTGGACATCATTAACGGAGGTTTTTCTGCTCTATTAGACACAGAGAAAGATGGCCATGATGGTATATGAAGCTTCTAGAGTCATAGGTTTTCATCTAACTGATTTCACTGAAACACAATCATGTATCTCATTAGAATATAATGTTTTATATTAATTAGTCTTATGTTTATTAGTGGCCCTAAAATTAGCTAATAGACATTAGTGCAGGGTATTTTTTATTTAATTTACAAAAGAATATTTATATGATATTGTCACAGGAAAATTTCGGGTTAAAAGTAAACGTACCTATTGTTTTGTTATATTATCTTTGTTATTGTTTTAGATATGATTTGCTCATGTAGCCAGACTGGCCTTAAATGTGTGCTCTTTCTACCTCACATCCCAAGTGTAGGTATTACAGGGATTTGTCACCATGCCTGACTTTGTTTATAACATTTCAAAAAATAAGATACTTGGCAGTTTGTACATTTACATATGCATTCACTTGAAGCAGAAATCAGAGACCAGAGTTTTATGTTAAGAAGTAGAGATTCATAAGGGAAGGAGAACTTTGTTAAGGATTGGGGTTCCAATGGTCACTGGCCATTGAGTTTGTTGTGTCCGTGGGATAATGACTGTAATCAGGTCAGTTAGGGACACTTTTATAATCTGTAAATGAATTAACACAAGAGTAATATTTTTATTCTCACAATGTGGTGGGCTGAAGATGGAGCTCAGCTGATAGAGTGCTTGCCTAGCATGGACAAAGCCTTGAGTTTAGTTCCTATCAGCACATAACTGGGTGTAAAGGTGCATGTCTGTAATCTCAGCACTCAAGACAGAAACAGGAGGACCTGGAGAAGTTTAAGGTCACCCTTGGCTTCTGAGCAACTTTGAGGCCAGTCTAGGGTATATGAGACTGTCTCGAAGAAAAGCTGATACCTAATTTATCTGTTATTCATGAAAAGTATCTCAGAAAAATCAGTTAAATTATTGTCTAATATTTCTTGTCTTTATCCACTTTTATCCTGAAGTCAACAAATATAAAGAACTTTCTGAGAGACAGCACCAAGTCAGAGAAAACTTAGCCAATATGTATACCCAGTCCTCCTCATACAGAAAAATGAAAGATGAACTGGATCCACTCTTAAGGAAACCAAAGGCAGGGAGGAGCTCAGCCTTGCAGATCACGTGTGTCACTTCTTTCTGGCATCAGCTTCAATGGATTATCTGTCGTTCATTTGAAAATTGCCTGGGTTTTCCAAGGGCCACTGGGATCCAGGTAATCTAATGACTTATTTATTTTATTGTGAAAAATTCATGTGAGAGCAATTTGTTTCTGAGTCAGTCTACTGCAGGGTCACACTTATCTTCTGCTCCTTCCATGTGTTTGTCATCTCCACTCTGCCTGGCATAGAGAAATATTCAATAGAGCAAGTAGACTATGATTAACTTTTTCTTATGGAAACATTTTTAGTGGTTGTTTTTTATTAACAGGAACTTTAATAACTAATCCAAGTAGAAACCTTCATTCAAGGAATGAAAAAAAACTCAGAACACCTGGGAGCTCCTCACACCTGTCTGCTTTATTTCATTAGTGCATCTTACAAGTTCAAAATCTAGGAATAAGTCAAGGAGTAAAAGGCCTTTTTCCTGATGTAACTTTCCTTGTGAGGGAAATAAATAAATAAAACTGTAGCCTGTCAGATGAGAGAATGGACTTGAAGAAACTTTAAGTAGAGAAAGAGTGGAGATGACTGGAGAGGGAAAGGACGGGTGATCTGTGGTTGAAATCATGTGATGAGGAGACAGGGCCATAGAACAGCTCTGAGGGAGCCTGAGCATCCACTGCCTGAGATGAGCCAGCTGCAGAGTGCTGTTCCCTCATCAGGATTCCAGTGTGTGAAAGCAGCAGCTACTCCAAGAGTGCAGCTCTCTCACACACAGTAACTGGACTGCACAATGCTCTTCCCTGTCAGCGACCTGGAACTGGGAGGACGTGAAGTTCTATTTTTCTTTAAACTGACTCTGTAACAAGGATCATCATGACTTACGATTTTCTGTTTTTAACATGAATGCCACACAGAAATTTGGTTCTACCAGCTCATTGGGCCATTACTTATTCAGTTATCTTTTATTTAATATTGTTGATGATTCTGCTCTGTTAGTATTTGATTCTGGGGCCTTAGCTCTTAGAGGGCAATCACTCTACAGTAGACCTACATCCCTGTCCCTGTCCAACGAGAACTTACAGTCAGTTCTGCTGTTAGTGCATTGCTATTTTATTCTCAGGCAGTTAGTTTCTGTTGAGTGTGCAAGTTCATGTGTTATTGGTTCTAATGAAACACCATTTACTTCTTAACATGTGTGCTGCCCTTTTCATATTTCAATGTTGCTACTTCCCTGCCTGTATGTAAATATTCTTCATCTGAGTTATACTGTCAGTTGCTCCAAACACTTTGGTCTTTTACTTGAGCATTATGTCATAAAAGAGATCTTTCTATGTCCATTCTTTCTGGGAAAAAAATTCAATATGATTGAAAAAAAATGAGTTACATTCATCAAATTAAGTTACTCACTGTTCAACAGTGAGGAAATATTATGAGGTAAGACGTGTGTGTGTGTGTGTTAGCAATGTGGGAATCGAGGACTAATTTTTAATATTTTTATATATTTATTTTCCATGTATGGGTGTTTTGCTTGCATGTATATCTGTACACCATGTGCATGTCCATGGAGGCCAGAAAAAGGCATCAAATTCTCTGAGCTGGAGTTACAGGAGGTGGTTAGGGGCCATTTGGGTGCTGGAAACTGAGTTCCAGGTGTTCTGCCTGAGCAGCAAGTGCTCTTAACTGCTGAGCTATATTTCCAAGCCCTGGAATTTTGATCTCTAATTTATCACATTATGTGGTAGGATCCTTACCCTTAGATCATAATGTTCTACTTTTAAGACATTATCCGAGGAATAATAGGATCTTCCAAATAAGTTCCAGCATCATGTAGCCTTACTCCTTTGCTAAGCGAAGCACCTTCTAAAGTCATTTTAATCTAAAACCACAACAGTTCAGGCTCCTGTGATGGTCGGCACAGATTGTGTACATGGAGGGTGATGAGGGTCTGGAGGAGCTGGCAGCGTAGGTGAGACTTGAGCACAGGCTGCGCTAACTGAGGTTGATGGAGGGGCAGTGACAGAGGTGATGGGCAATGGGAGACTGGGGTGACCCAGAGGATGCTGTATGATCACTGTGGTGACAGAAATAGTGCTGGTTCCCACACAGCACAGATGTCCCTAAGGTGACACAGGTAAGGACCAGCTCACCCCTTCTTAGGACACAAAATCCCATTGCTAGGAACTGTGTTGTGAGTCATTTTTAATTTCATTATTTGATTTGTACTTGTAGTTCTGCAGGGCTCTGCCACTGAGCTGTCCCCCTGGCCTAGGATGCACTTGTTTCTAACTATAAGAATAAAGAAAGCCTGAATTTGTTTGAGCCACTTGAAGCAGAACGTTGCACATGTTCGATGGCACCAGAATTGAGACCCCAGTTTAGGTGAAGACTTTCTGTCACTTACCTGGGTTTGTTTCCTACCCCCCCCCACCCCCAGGCACCTGCATTCTCTCCCATCCTGTGTCATCCATGTTTTAATCTGATCTGAGTCATTCACTGGCCATTCCTGGTTGGGCACTGGGAAAAGTCTTAGCTTTTCCAGGATCTGCACTGTTGGAGCTTCTAATTGCAGAGACCTTTATTTTCACATTAACATACAAGTACTCTTTTAACACATGTGTTTTATATTCTCTCAGGGCATCTGGCCAAAATATAGTGTTCATCTTACTGGAGAGATCTGATTAGGATTTTAAAATAATGGACAATGTGTAGAATACTTTCTACTCCCAATGGAAATTTTTTTCTTTTCCCTGTTTTCTTTTTGAAAGGCAATTATCACATTCTTACTGGCCGTGATTGTGGGTACCAGTTTCCTTGTCCTACGAAATGTTTGTACCGAAGTCCAAACAAGGTAAGCAAATGAGAAAATTTTGACACTTTGTTCAAACTTATATAAATCTATGAAGAATTGGAATTTGAGACAAGAACAGAGTAAGCATTTTATCACATGATAGAGCAGGTTGGTAATGAGTGGAAGACCTCTTTTCCACATGTGTTTGTGTATAGAGAGTAGGAAACTACACACACCACACATTTCACATTTTGCCAGTTTTAGTGTAAAGAGTAGCTTCATGTTACGCAACTATCACCACACTCTACATCTAGGGTGATTTTCATCTTCCCTAGTGGAACCCCACAGCTCTGAAAGAAGACTCCCTTCTGTCACTGAATATTACTAACATGGGTACCCTGAATTGGAGTCACACAAGTGTCTCTGTGTTTTGGTGTTGTTTGTATTTGTTTTGGCTGGCTTGTTTCCATTAATGTGATGTCCTCAGGGCTCATCAAAGTGTAGCATGTGTGGGGATTCCTTGGGTTCTGTAAGGCAGAACAATTACCCATTGTATGAACATGCTGTGTTGCTTCCCATTCATTGTGGATGGAAATGTGATTTTCTCTCACGTTTGGTTGCTGTGAACCATGCTGCTGAGTGTGCAAGTCCATCTGTTTGAGCCCTGGACTTTTGTCTTTAAGGTAGAAAGCTAGAGTTCCCAAATCATAGGCGATTGGGTTAATTCTTTAAGGAACAGCCATCTCCAGTTTCACTGTACTATTTTGTATCTTCATCATCAGAACACATCCTCACTAAAACTTGTGTTCTTCCTTGTCTATAATAATATATCTAAGAAAAATAAATCACAATTTCTTGGTTGTTCTATGAAGTATCTGCTATTTCTCATTTTAAATAGGAATATTTTCTTTTTATTCCACAATTATTTATTTCTTTAGTATGTGTATATGTGTGGGCATGTGTGTCCTACAGTGTATGCAGAGGCTGCTTGTTCATTTCTGGCTGCTCAGACCACGAAATAATCACTCAGAAACTATACTATTTGCAATATTGTTTGGCCAATAGCTTAAGTGTGTTTCTGGCTTACTCTTATATCTTAAATTAACCCATTTCTATTAATCTGTGTATTGCCATGTGGCTGTGGCTTACCAGTAAGGTTCCAATGAGTCTGTCTCTGGTGTAGACTTCATAGTGTCTTCCCTAACTCCACCTACTCTCTATATATATCTTTTCCAGCTGGGCTATTATTCTGTTAAGTCACTGGCCAAAAGCAGCTTCTTTATTCTTTAACCGATAAAAGCAACACATATCTAGAAGGACTTCCCACATCACTGCAGCATGCATATGGATGTCAGAAAACAATTGACAGCTGATCCCCCAACAGATGGGTTTGAAGGATTGTACTCAAGGTCATCAAGCTTGGGGGCAGTCATCTTACCTGCTGAACTATAACTTAATTTTCTATGGCCCTTAATTTTTCCTTACTATTGAGTTAAGGTTATTTTTGTTTCTGAGATGTGACCAAATACATGATCCACATACATTTCTTCCCTTCTCTGTGTTTTTCTTTTATCTGTTTATAATGCCTTGGTACACAAATGTTTTTAGTTTACCTATTTATTCTTCTTTGGTTGCTCCAGTGCCAATTTTCTTGAGTAAGGTGGGTTTGTATGAATGTGAGTGTGGGGTGATAGGATGAGACTCAGTTTTTCCTGACTTGTTCTGTGGATGCCACTTTTGTGGTCTTTGTTTAGTTTGAGTTATAACGTGGCTTTAAAGATATCCTTTATAAAGTTTTTGATGACTATAGCATGCTCACAAAAGTGTTTCTCATCAGGATCACAATTTTCAGAATTTTCATTGTATTTTATGTGTGACACACCACTATTTGCTCAACTGGGCTCCCTAGTTGACACCCACAGCCTCAGGGTACCTCTCAGTGGCCAGAGAGGCTTGACTATTAAGGAAAGATGATTAAGAACTTCAGGAAGCTTCTCTTGAGAGAGCGAGAGAGAAAGAAAGATATACATATAGATAGATAGATAGATAGATAGATAGATAGATAGATAGATAGATAGATCGATCAAGAGGTGTTATTTGTCCAGGTTTGTGTCAGGTGGACTCATGTTCATGTGGATGTATACACACATGCATATTGCTGAGTATGCATGTGTCTGCATGTGGAGGTCAGAGGTTGATGCCATGTTTTCATTGATGTCCATCCACTTCCTTTATCAAGGCAGGTCCCTCACTGAACCTAGAGCTCATTGACTTGGCTGGGCTGGCTGATGAGCTCCAAGTGTCCACCCCTGTATCCTTCATCTCTGGAGTTATAGATGAGAAGTCCTGTGCCTGGGGACTTTTCCATGTGTCCTAGGCATTTGAACTCAGCTCGTCAAGACTGCATGCCAGACACTTTGCTAAGTGGGCCAGCTTCACAGCCCCACAAATATGCTTTGCTGTGTGGAAGATACTTATTATATTTGAAGAAAAAATAAGCATAAAAATCAGTTATTCTATGAATTGTCTTCTGTTTGAATTGGAAGTTAGTCTGCAGTGAGATTCCTGGTACGTCTGTCTCCATTCTGCCCTCTTCTCCTTCCCTGAAGGCCAAGATCTGAATGCTTTCCAAACCTTCTAGTTCTTGGTTTGTGCCCATGTAGATGGCACATCTTAACCCAGAACAGCATAGACAACAAGGCAGACGGTGTAGGCACTGTTACAGGAGGCTTGTAGACATAGTTCCAAAAAACCTGATGTGGAAATGTTCTTGGAAAATGCAGACATAAAGAAGATCCTTATTAGCTGTTGCTTCATATTCTTTTTAGAAATTGTGAAATGTTCTTAATTTGTATTTTTCACGTCCCCTCATTCAGTATTGTATAAGAAGCTGAACTGTGTGACAATGGCCTTTGTGTGTGGTTTATTCCAGTCTTCCTGATAAATGGTTGATAGTTTTGGTTTGTGCGCTGGTTAGTTTTTTGCCTACTTGACACCAGCCATGGTCATGTGGGGAGAAGGAAGCTTAGTTAAGAAAATTCATCTATCAGGTTGACGTGTAGGCAAGTCCATGGGATATTTTCTTGATTAATACTGAATGTGGGAAGGGCCAGGCCACTGGAAGTAGTACCAACTCTGGGCAGGTGTTTCCAAGTTGTATATAAAGCAGGTGGAACAAGTCAGTAAGGATCACTCATCTGCGGCCCCAGATTCCATCTCTGCCTCCAAGATCCTGCCTTGAATTCCTATATGACTTTCCTCAAAAATGGATGTGTTCTGGATATGTAAGCCAGATAAATCCCACTCTCTGTAAGTTGCTTTTGGTCATGACAATTACCACAGGTAAAGAAACTTTAATAGGACAATTTTAAATACTTCCTTAACATCATCTATGCAATTAAGCCATTACATTATTTTCAGGGTCAATATAAATATTTTCTTCATCAGTAATGTTTAGGAGGCCAGAGATGGTTCTTATATTTGGATCCAATGTTGTCCTTGTACTTTGTCCAACTTATATCAAGGAACTGGGTTTGAATTTTGTCATGTTTGAGCTCCCTTGGCTCAACAGCAGTATAGGGTTGAGGTGGCAGTCAAACATTAAGAAGAAGGCACTGAAAGAAATAATTGGATACAGGCATTTATGCTGTGCATACTTACATGTATATTTAAAATCATTTGCTCAAAGTTCATGTGAAGACTGATGTTCGCTGGAGCACCATGCATAGTAACAAAGTTAGGGGATCTAAGTTCACGTAAACGGTAAAGCAGATGTGACTCTGAATGCTGCTTATATTCAACATGGGAATTTGTAACAATATGGATAGAACTGAAGATCTGAGGAACATCATGCAAAGTAAAATAGTCCAAGCCTAGGAAGCAAATGTGTTTCTCTGACATGTGGATTTTAAAGGAATTGACCTCCTGTCAGCATAGTGCTCGTTGTCAGGGCAGTGAGGAGTGAGGAGACACAGATTCGCTAAGAGTATAAAATCTGTTAAATGGGAGAAATCAGATGCTTTTACTTTGAGATAAATTGCACAGCACACTCAGTGCAGCAAATATTAATACACACTTCAAGGTTTCTGAGAATACATTTCTAATATGTTACTATGAAAATGAGGCATATTTGTAGAGATGGACATCACCCTATTTAGTTTGATATACTTATTTCATAAAATAGGTCATGAATCATATTAGTTTTACACCTAAATGTGTAGTTATAGATTTTCAGTCTACAATTATAACCTCTAAAAAGCCAGATTAGAAAGTAGATGTGATATATATGGTTAAGGATAGCCAGGGCCATAAAGTTCCCTTCCTAAATTCTTGGTTTTGTTGATAAAAACATAGGAAAGTAAACAGGATGGAACTTGAAGACAATTTGTTGGAGACAGAGAGGGAGAATGCCATGAGCACCAGGAATGAATGTGTGTGGGAATGGAAGAGTGGAGAGAGAAAGTTGTGCATTTAGTAGAGTGAAGCTTTGGAAGCAAGACAGACTCATCAGGAGAGGAGGAGAACCCAGGTCCTCCACTCTATGGTTGGTCCTTTGCTGTTGTTTGGTCCTTTGAGTGTGGTCCACGGTTGTGACTTGACAGGTCAAGAATTTGTCAAGTAGCCCAGGCTGGCTTTAGTTCCAGGTTCTCTTCTCTGTTTGGTGACTGGATGCCCAAGTTCCCCACTGTATTGTTGGTCACGTGGTGCACAGGCCCTCTGCTCTATGTTTGGACCTTTGAAGCAGGGCCACAGTTATGACCTGACAGATCCAGAACTTATCATGTAGCCCAGGCTGGCCTCAAGCTGCAGTGATCCTCATGCCTCTGTACCTCAAATTCCAGGAGTTTGGAGATCTTGCTTCCTCCTCTTCTCAGAATCTTCCCCATTCTTAGCTTGTCTTTTTTTCCCATCCTCTTTCTTTAATCTGGCCTTTTATAGATTGTAAAATGGAATTTTTCTTTGATGGAGAAGGAAACTCGTCTCCAATAAGGTCCCAATCATCTGCTCTGATATCACCACCACTGTGTATCTAGATAAAAAGTTAATAACTTCTGACTTTAGTTGAAAAGGTGTAGCAGGCTGTTAGGACCCAGATACCGTTTGTCTTTGAGGAACCTGACATGTGTGTCCAGAAAACAGGTAACTGCGGAAGGCCTTTTACTTCCCCTTTCTTCTGCTTACCATCTCCTATCACATAATCAAAAATTATTTCTTCATAGATAAGCATGACTGGATCCCTTTTTTGAACTCTTTGGAAACTATGCAAGAAGTTGCTTGGCCTATTTTAGGGATGATCATTAGGGCTTTAAAGATGTTTTTATAGTTTGTGTCTGTAGTAAGCCGCTGAGTGGGGATTCCCCCACTGTTTCATGTTTTCCTTCTTACTCTTCTGTAAATCAATGCAGCCAACTGAGTATGAAAACTTGTTGGAGCTTTATTTATCTTTATGTTTCTCTCTTTATTAGCACGATGCTTACGATTCTTTTAGTTAAATTGAAGTTGGGTTGGGCTGCCATGAGTAAATGCAGCAGATTCAGTGGATTTAAAAGCAATGTGTCTCCACAGTGCAGTGTGAGAGTCTGAGGTGAGGATTCTCTCTCAGGCTCTTCCTGTCTGGCCACCTTCTCTCTCGTGGCAGACACTGCAATGCTGTTTCTTCCCATGATGAGGTGATGATGACAGAGATGACATCCTGGGGCTCCACTCTCATGATTTCATCTACAATCAGTTAACCCCTAAATTGCATACTCTAGTATTGTTACATTAAGGGCCATTATCAAATTGTTGGATTTTAGAGGACAAACTTCCAGTAATAGATACTGTTTATGGAAACAGAGGAGACTAACTCACAGGACTCATTCTTCCTGACCTTTTAAACCAGAACAGTTCTACATTATCCTTCTTTCTTTTTTAATAGTTATTTTATTTTTATGTGCCTGAATTTTTTTTTTTTGAAATTTATGTCCATACCATGTGTGTGCCCTGAGACCTGTGGCTATCAGAAGGAGGCATTGGATCCTGCCTCAGTTTGGGTTACTATTGCTGTGGCTAAACACATCACCAAAGGCAAGTTGGGGAGGAAAGGTTTTATTCAGCTAACATTCTCACATTGTCATCCAACATTGAAGGAAGTCAGGACAGGGGGAACCCAATTAGGCAGGGATCTGCAGAGGTCACGATGGGTCCTGCTTACTGTCTTGCTCGGCTTTCTTAGAACCTCTGGGATGTATCACCCACAATGAGATGGGCCCTCTCCCAACCATTAGTAATTAAGAAAATGAGTTACAGCTGGATCTTATGGAGGCATTTCTCAATTGAGGTTCTCTCTTTCAGATTAGCCTAGCTTGTGTCAAGTTTACATAAAACTAGCTGGCACAGAATCCTCTTGAACTAGAGTGACAGATGACTGTGATCTGCTATGTGGGTGCTGCCAACCAAACTCGGGTCCTCTGCAAGAGCAAAACGTACTCTTTATTGCGGAGCCATTTCTCCAGTCTTTTTTTTTTTTTTTTTTTTTTTTTTTAGAACAGATCTGTGTAATGTTATTTATTCTACAGAACAAGGTGTATTGGAAAGAACCCATCCTAATGTTGAACTTACTGTTGTTTTTGCCTTCATTCTCTTCTGGCAGAGCAAACCTCCTCTTCTTGCTCACGGTCTTCCAGTGCTTCACAAGTGTGTCTACCGGAGATCTCTTCATGATTGACAGGAATCGCTTTCTGTAAGTAGCCTTTGCTCCAGAAGCAGGAATCAGGGGATAACAATCAAATTAATTACATTCATTGTTGGGCCTAGAATGTTATCTCATGAATTATCAGTAATTTCCCCTTTTCTTATTTAGTTGAAAATAAAGAAATTATGTAATTTTGTGTTTATCATGTGGTATAATTATTTTTGATGTATGTAAAGAGATTATTAATATTAACTAAAAAAAGGGGGGGAATCAAGGGCAGAGGGTTCTGCTGCTCAAAGAAAAATTTCAAAATTGAGGTGAGACCACTAGATCTCATTGCTTCAGACAACACAGTAGTAAGGAACTGATGAAAATCACAGGATATTCATGATGCCCCCGAAGAAGGATGTCAGGGGTTTCATAGAGCTTGGGTGTAGTGGGTTCAGCAGCACATTGAAGATGGAGAGACACAGCTGCACAAGAATCAGGATCCTCATGATGCAGGGCTGGAAAGAGCCACACAGCAGCTGCATATGAAAGAGCTGTTTATGTCCCGTGTTGTCAAGCATGGAAGAACCGTTTCCTGGTGGTCTATGCTTAGGATTCCCTGCTCTCAAAGATGGCCAAGATAGGTATGGTCCCAACTGCATGCCATGGAGAGGAGTCATCAGAGAGGAGATGAGGGTCTTGCTCAGTTGGTAGAGCGCTGGCTTTGTGTGCATGAAATCCTGTGTTAGAGTCACAGTGCCACAAAACCCCGAAAATGGCTGTATGTCTGTAATCCCAGCATTTGGGGCTGGGGAAGAGATAGGAACTTGGTCATTGTTGGGTACATATAGAATTTAACGCAAAACTGTAAGAAATTTCTGAGATTGTCTCAAAAAAAATCAGATATATGCTGAAGTCACCTGAAGGGTAAAAGCTTGGGATTTGGAAGAACCAGGAAGGAGAAGGGTTACATTTGGCATCTGGTAGCAATTCGTGGTTGTAAAGAGAGATTATCAAAGGAATACAATTGTCCTAAAGTGAGGGTAGCAAAAGAGAAGGATGTGGTGTCCTGAAGGTACACTGTGACCTCAGAGTGACAGTGTTACCTTCTTCATAAGAACTGGAAGGAGAGGAATCTCCATGACCACTGTCTGAGGTGAGGTACGAATGAGCTCCTCCTTAGGGAGTCAGCTTCAGAGGGCAGAGACTCTGGGGAGAGTGGGCACATCAAACTGTTTCCCTGGAGAGGCTGTTGTTTGTCCAGAGTGGACAAAAAAGGGGAGAGTTCTCTGGTGGAGAGAATAATAGTGAGAATGTCATGAGGCTGCTGACCTAGAGTGGCTGGTCCCTAAGATGGGGCATTATGGGAGTGAGTCTTGAGCACAGAGGACACTGTGCTGTTAGGCTCCCTGTGGTAGCAGAAGTCAATGTAGCCAGCATCTCACCTGGACTAATTTAAAATTGTATAACGTGATGTTTGTCTCTGTAGACATGAGCACACCAGTGGATATTACAGAGTGTCATCATATTTCCTTGGGAAATTGTTCGGTGAGCTGGTACCCAGAAGGTTATTCCCAAGTATTATATTTACTGTTATAGTATTCAGCATAGCAGGTAAGTGACAAAGCAAGAGAATGCGTCTTTACTCTTGGGGGAGCATGTTTTGCTTTGTACAACTGTAGAAAGCCTAAAGTAGAAAATTGTAAGTAGAAAAGCACGTCTTCACTGTGTGCCATCAAAACAGGAGTTCAGTGGGAGAAAAGGCTCTAAGACTTGATCACAAAACACTACAAAATATGTTTATGAAACTGTGCTTTACTAGAGATTCTGTGCTCTATAATGAGTGTGGAAATAGCGTACACATTTGAGACAGTGCCAATGGAGCAAGGTCAATTTTAGATATCTATCACACATGTTATAAAATGTTTATTTTTCTTTATTGGTGTATTTGCCGGATTTTGTGTGTGTGTGTGTGTGTGTGTGGTCTGTCTGTGTATCTGTCCTGTGTGTGCACTAAGTGGATGCAGTGTAGTGCCTGGGTGGCCAGAAGAGGACATCAGATCCCCTGGAATTGTAGTTACAGAATCTGAGCCACTGTGTAGGTCCTGGGAACAGAATCTGGGGTATCTGCAATAATAGCACATGCTTTTAATTAGTGAGCCATCTCCTTAGCCCAGTTGTATATTTTCTCTGTGTTTCTGTATATGTCTCTGTATTTGCATATAAAATATAGAAATGAGCATAATATCTCATACATATGTGTGTGTGTTTAAAAGAACTTAAATGCACACAGTGTATTAGTGTATTATGCTACCTAATCTTAAAAAGAAAAAGGCTACTGAATTTGAGGTTTGTTGAAATTAAATAATATAAAAGTTATTTGAAATATGTGCACCGATTCATTTGTGCATTATGGTTAAACTTTATCATAGACTAAGTGCTGAGAGTTTACATACTTTTCACACACACATACACACACACACACACAGAGAGAGAGAGAGAGAGAGAGAGAGAGAGAGAGAGAGAGAGAGAGAGAGAAGCACTGATAAAGCTTAGACTTTGTTTTATAACAGATTTACCATTCAGAGCCAGTCATTTAGGCCATGGGCAAATTACTTGTTCTGTAAGCCAGACAACCTGAATTTGATACTCAGAATCACAGCGGAAGAATCATTCCAGAAAGTTGTCCTTAAACTTCACCTGCACACCATGGCTCATGCACACCTTGGCACATGCACATCATGTCACATGCATACCCATACACACATGTGTACCATACTCATCTTGATAATCTTAACATTAACTCTGAAAACAATTAGGCATTGAACTCAGCTCCCCCAGACTCTGTGTCCTTGTGACTGTTATAAAACACAGGACTATACATGTCTTATAACACTAGCACCATATAGATTCCAAATCAGTTTTGGAACCCATCGCTTTCCTCCAAAGAAGTTATATGGTGATTTTCTAGGAAAACTAAAGTTGCAGGCACCCTCCCATCTTCTCAATATTAAAATCACTGCACGGTTGTTTAACCCTTGCCCTGGATAGGTTTCTAGTACTGTGACAAACACCATGACCAGAATCAACTTGTGGAGGAAAGGGTTTATTTCATTTTACAGTTCAATGTCCTTTAAGAAGGAAAGTCAGGGCAGGAACTCAGGCAGGACCCTGGGGGCAGGGAGTGAAGCAGAGGCCATGAGGAGTGCTGCTTACTGGCTCCTAATGGCTTCCCCAGCCTGCCTTCCTGTAGAACCCAGGACCACTGCCCAGGGATGGCATCATCCACAGATGTCTAAGACCTCCCACATAAATCATCCATCAAGAAAATGTCCCCACAGGCTTGCCTACCTGCCAATCTAAAGGAAGCATTTTCTTAGTAAGGTTCCCTCTTTCCATATGACCCTAGCTCATGTTAAATTTACAAAACAACTAACTGGCACAGCCCTGATCCCAGTTTCATTACTAACGCAGTTATAATAAACACAGGGGAATGTGAACATGAATGTGTTGCATTGCTGATTCCACTGTGAAAGAATGCAATACAATTTTGGCCAGTTGTATTTCCTGTAGCTCTCCATGTCAGGAGCCTGTAAATTGCTCATAGTTGTGTATAGAGGAGAGCAGCTAATATATGGAAATATGTTTTGTGTCAGGTGTAGAAATAAAGCCATGCGATGGAGATGGAGAGAGGCTCATTGGTTAAGATCACATGCTGCTCCTCCAAAGGCCTGAAATTTTGTTCCCAGCATCCACATAATCAGGACACAGTTAGAGACGCAGAGAAGTTGGGTGGCCATGAAACTGTTACCAGTCTCATTGACTATTAAAGTGTTATTTGAAATATGTACAATCTCTTGACTTAGGTGATGAACTGATCCTACTTTATTTTTTTCCTAAGGAGTAAATACAGATGTGAAGGGTTTCTTCACTATGTTTTTTACTGTCATGATGTTGGCTTATTCGGCCAGCTCACTGCCACTGTGTTTCAAAGCAGGGGGGAATGCAGTGGCTGTACCAACTCTATCTGTGACCATCTACTTTGTGTTCATGCTGGTGAGTGTGAATTGTGGTTTTCTTTTGTAATTTTTTAATTTACTTTTTTAAAAAAGATCTTTTTCATTTTACTTCCCTATCCCAATTCCCACTACTTCTGTTCTCCTGCTCCCCCCATCTACCCCCACCCCACCCCATCCACTCTTCAGAAGATATTATTGTAGGGCTTGACATCCAGAGAGGAGGGGGCATTCTTTTACCAACCACAAAGAACTTTGGTTTTAACATGAAGAATTCTGTTTAAAGTTTACTGAAGAACATTTTAAAGAGCTGATCTAAGAAGAAACAGTCAGAAGGATGAAGGGGTCTTGAAGAGGGAGGATCTTGTCTAGAATTCTTTGTCACTGGACTGATTCTAATTCATAGATTTGTTCTTCATAGGTTTTCTCAGGTCGGTCACTATATTCTGGAAGCTTCTTACCTGGGCTCTCATGGATTCAGTACTTGAGCATTCCGCATTATGGGTTTACAGTAAGTTGTCCTGTCTGTCACTGTATTGGGGTTCTCCAACTGTAACAACTGAAATGATTCCCAAGTCCTTTCCCCAGCTGTAATCTTTAATCAGTCGCTGCCAAAAATTTTCCTTCTAGGAGCAGAAGATGGGAACTATCCTATTAGTTTTAAGTGAGTCATCTGGGATTTTTCATAGTCATGTTTTATTTGAGGGAAACAAATGGTGACAAAAAACCTCAGGGCAAAGGGGAAAGGTAGATAATACTATGAAAAGCAAGCAGTTGTGATTCTGCCCAATAAGGAAATAAATAAATAAAGGATCAGCGACTGCGATGTATAGTTTATTTCAGGAAAATATAAGAAAGAAGCACTGTGATACCCAGAACTTGTTGAAATATGAGCGGCGGGGCTGCGTCCCCAACACCCAGGCCACTTGGCTAGCTTATGCCTGAAATAACAACACACAAACTGTATTCATTTAAGAACTGCTTGGCCCATGAACTCTAGCCCTTACAGGCTAATTCTCGCACCTGGACTAGCCCATTTCTAATGATGTGTGTAAGCACCCCAAGGTGTGCTTACCTGGAAGAGTCTAGCCTCCGTCCATCCTGGAGTCTCTGCTCCAGAGAGCAGAGCTGTTGGGTCTCTCCGGGAGCAGAGCAGAGTCTGACCTCACTTCCTCTTCCGCCCAGAATTCTATTCTGTTTATTCCACCCACCTATGTTCTAAGCTATGAGGCCAAGCAGTTGGTTTACTATTACTTAACCAATGAAATCAACAGATTGATATATGACACTCCCACATCACTTCCCCTTTTTCTGTTTAAACAAAAAAAAAAAAAAAAAAGAAGGCTTTAACTTAACATCCAAAGCTCTAGAAATGACAGAGACATCTCGCTGCCTGGACAGTCACCCAAAGTTCCTCTGTACCGTTGGGGCATCCATCTTCGGCCTACAGGCCCATAGTTTCCAGCAGACATTTCCACAAAGCAGGAAATTTCAAAGGCAGTCACTATCTGCTTGTCCTGAAGAATGTCTTGCAGACTCTTTCATGAATCAGGAACCCCGAAAGATCATCTCACCTTTAGGCAAGTTCAGCAGTCCTCTCTCTGCGGGTTCTCTGTGTCCAGTTTATGCAATAGTCCAGGCAAGAGCAGTTTCTTGCCCAAATGGCTATCAAACTCCATAAGGATCCTCTTCGATGCCCATCTTCCTCTTGAAGTAGATTGGTGCTGCCAGGAGCAGAGTGTCTCATTGTCATGAAAAGTCCTAAGTTATTAAAACATTTAAAATGCCATATTCTATAATCTTTGAAAAATATGAAGAATGCCTATCTAAAATATATCTATGCACATCTAGAAAATCTTAACTAACATGACTACAAACTTAACTATTATTAATGATTATTCATTAACAACCTATATACATTACAAAATTAACCTTAAATTTAAATCACTAAAGCAAAATCCATATCAATGTAAATTATTCATACCTATATCATCTCCCCCTTTAAATGTAAAAGAACATTTATAAACCATATTTGGGAACATGGGCGCAGTTTTTTCTCTCCAAACTGCTTCCTGCTGAATGGGGGCGTCGTTAATTAGGTCTTTCATGGTATAACCTGTGTGCTAGTTTCATCTCAGTTGGCAGTTGAGCGAAGCAATTTTCTGAAGGTATTCACAGCAACCGTTCAGGAGGGCGTGGTCCATCATACCATATCGGAATAGAAGAAATGAACAGGGTCTCATCCTCTGTGAAAACAAAAAAAGAAACTCCTTTCCAAAGTATCATGTCCTTAGATCCAAATTTCAAAGTCAAGGCATCAAAATCTCTACGATGGATTAGTTCAGCAGCATTTATAAACAAATATCTTTTGGCAGCTGTTGCTCCTTCCTCAGCATTCAAACAATTCAAAGAGAGCATAATAGTATACAGTATCAAGATTCTCTGTGTATTTTCCATCTTTGTACGCTTTATTTTAACCTCTATTTCGTTTATTTTTACTTTTATATTCTCTGTATCTCTTTGACCTGGAATAACTCTGTAGACCAGGCTCTCCTTGAACTCTCAGAGATCTGCCTGTCTCTGCCTCCCAGGCATTGGGATTAAAGGTGTTTGCTACCACACCTTGAACTCACAGAGATCTGTTTGTCTCTGCCTTCTAGGCACTGGGATTAAAGGCGTGTACTACCACACACAACTTCTCTTTTTCTTTTTTTTTTTTAAGAACTTTTAACTTTTAGCTTGCATATATTTTTAACACACTGTAAATCATTTAAACATTTTCTTTGTCTTTGAATCTCTTTACTGTATATCTCTCTTTTTCTGACCACACGAGCCTTTAAATTACTGAGCAATATGAGTAGGATTAAAGCCGTGGCTTTGCCAGGTAGATCCAGTCCATTCCTTAGCTTTCCAGCCTCATGGTGGAGATACAGGCTGTAGCCATGTTTATAGCCACAATTCTATGGCGTTTCAAGGTCCCTGCCAGCCAGCGAGCTACAACAGACAACAGTCAAGTCCTCTCTCGGTAGTTGGCCCTCCTGCCTCAGTCAGAGTTTGCCCTGGCAGGACGGCCCAGAAAGCCGGCATTTTTAAACAGCACAACTTTTTTCCTGCTACGGCTGAAAACCGAAAAGCATGCGTTCAGCTTTTCACCAACACCGTTTAAGTGTTTCGTGGCAGGACCTCTTAATGAGCTGCAGGGTTTTGCAGCTGAAGCTGAGTCAGGAAGCCTCTCTTAGATGAGAGCGCTTGCTTGCCTCTAGCAAGCGGAGCAGACCCAAGAAATTTCTGCTACCAAGAAAACATGCTTCACTCCATTCTTTCCCAAGCTTTCTCAGGCTTTTTGTGGATTCAGTTAGCCACACGTCTGGGCGCCATCTGTTGAAATAGGAGCGGCGGGGCTGCGTCCCCAACACCCCGGCCGCTTGGCTAGCTCATGCCCGAAATAACAACACACAAACTGTATTCATTTAAGAACTGCTTGGCCCATGAACTCTAGCCCTTACAGGTTAATTCTCGCACCTGGACTAGCCCATTTCTAATGATGTGTGTAAGCACCCCAAGGTGTGCTTACCTGGAAGAGTCTAGCCTCCGTCCATCCTGGAGTCTCTGCTCCAGAGAGCAGAGCTGTTGGGTCTCTCCGGGAGCAGAGCAGAGTCTGACCTCACTTCCTCTTCCGCCCAGCATCCTATTCTGTTTATTCCACCCACCTATGTTCTAAGCTATGAGGCCAAGCAATTGGTTTATTATAATTAACCAATTACCTTCTTCCATCAAGAACTATATTGGTTTTGCCAAGCTTTCTCTCCAGTAAAGTGTGTTTTAGTAGACTTTCTTACTCCCATAATCACAACTGGTTTTGATGAAAATAATCAAGAATATATTATTTCTATACAGCAATAGTATTATTTTAACTACAGTGCTTAGTGGGTTATTGTCTAGGTAGAGAAAGAGGTGCCTGAGGTGATTTAGTTGAGAGTCTATCTCTTAGTAGTTGGGAAACTTCATCTTTCAATCCTAAGTCTCCTGAGTGTGGGGGAGGAGACTGCTTTTCTGGGCAGACTGAACTTGGTGGGGTTGTTTATTTAAAAATATTTATGCAAATTGCCGTCAAGATTGAACTTGAATTTATAGATGGTTGATTCTGTGGAAACTTGTGGAAATACTAAACTATTTGCCTTTCTGTGTCCCTCTGTTTTATAGGCTTTGATGCACAATGAATTCTTGGGACAAAACTTCTGTCTAGAAAATAACACAGCAGAACTCAGGAGATGTCGCAACTATGTGATGTAAGCTTGAGTTCCGTGTCACAATGGGCACATAGAATGCTCCACACCTTAAAGGGGAAACACATCCTTTCAGGATTAACTCTGTCTTCTGTGGGGTCCATAGAGTGTATCATTGTAACCAATGTACAGGCGGCTGTGTTTCCATCTGAGTGTTCCATGGTGTAGATAATGTGCAGAAAGGGTTCTTCGAGGCTTTCAAAAATAGTTTTGGTGTCTTGATTGTGGGTTTGGGTTCCACAATTCAGAATATTTGAATTTGGCATACACTGCTCTGATAGCTTACAAGGGCATACAGTTTCCATATGTCAGGCAGCAGGGTCCAAAAGGACTGAGCTTTGCCTGGCAGCATTCAGGGTCTTTTCTTTGCCTCACACTCCAGAGAACTTCGAGAAAACAAAGCGTGGTGTGTGTGTGTCTATGTGTCTGTGTGTGTGTGTAAAATGTCCTACCAGAGGATATGCCCTATAAATGAAACAGACATATTTCAGAATGTTGAGAAGGAAATCTCATTTTTGTGTAATGTCACTAAAATAGTAACAGGTTTTTTAATAAAACAAGTGTATTGTTTTAAAGTTACAGTACTTTCATTTTCTATGATTGCTCTTTTAAACTTGATTTTGATATATAAATATGAGAGAGGAATATGCTGATACGTTAGATCTCTCATGGATGTTAAAATAATAAGGAATAATAGTAAGCCAAATTTAAGTTTGAATTACTGATAAGAAAACAAGTATGGGGGAATATCCTATTTTCCACATCTCCTCTCTTCTGGTGTGGTCTGGCATCCTTGTACTACAAATTAATTACTGGTTTCTTGTCCAGGGTGGGATGGGTAAAGTGTAACCAGAGAAGGGTCATTCACAGATCTCGTACACACAAAAGGATTGTCCTCTCAAGAGGAAGAAGAAAATGGCCCTTTCAGTGGATTTGGGAACTGTTAAATCCTAATAGATACAAGGGAATGGAGAAACATAGGAGTGGAGGGAGACACACAGGGATGGAGACACAGAGATAGAGGCACACAGAGATGGAGACACATGGGGATGAAGATACATAGGGATGGAGACACAGAGATAGAGGCACACAGGGATGGAGACACACGGGGATGGAGACACAGAGATAGAGGCACACAGAGATGGAGACACACGGGGATGGAGACATACAGGGATGGAGACACAGAGATAGAGGCACACAGAGATGAAGACACACAGGGATGGAGACACACGGGGATGGAGACACACAGGGATGGAGACACAGAGATAGAGGCACACAGGGATGGAGACACACAGACAGTAATTGTAGTGTGTTCAGGAATTATAGCAGCAGCTGTTTTTCTAAGTTGTGTCAGGATCTCTGCATCCTGTTGTGCTCCAACTACTACCCTGGGCTCCTGGGCATGCTCCATACCTAAGCATCCAAGGCTATTACTGCTCTTTTAGTACAGGAGCTCACAGCAATTGACTGACTCCTCTTGGAAACCCTTAGTCTCCTCTGGTCCTTGGTCTAGAACTTGATGTCTTGTTCTTTTGTGTGATTGTGTGCTGAGTCAGCAGAATTGCACAAAGCTTTGATCTCTGTGTGTGTTCTTAAGAAAATGAGGTTTTCTGCTTCAGCAGAAATAAGTACTTCACCTGTGACTTTGCCCTTTGAAGAGAAAGCAGTGATGTAGGTTTAGAAATGAATGACGCCTTAAAGGCTAAAAAATTGGGTCTTAATGTGACTCTCTAAACTTGCCAAAGTTTACTAAGCCTCTATGCTTTTAAATAGATGTGATAGCTACACCTCTCCAGATGGCTTTTGAAATTAACCAAGGTACCTGATTCAAGTAGATTGATAATATATCACAAAGTTTTTAGTATGTCAGTAGCACTATCATTTAAATATAAAGATGAAGTTTTTAATGATGTGTTGAAACTGAGTTTTTAAAAGAAAGGAATAGTAAATGTAATGAGTAAGCTTTGACGTTATTTTTGTGTGTGTTGACTTACAGATGCACTGGAGAAGAATTCTTGACGAGCCAGGGCATCAACCTCTCATCATGGGGCTTCTGGGAGAATCACGTGGCCTTAGCTTGTATAACAATTATCCTCCTATCATTTACCTATGTGCAATTATTACTATCTAAGAAAGCAGAAGTTCTTAGGTCTTGTAGGAGGAAGTTTCAATAGTTGTTTAAAGAGATGTGATTCCAAACTGTCTTCTAAACAGTTACACTCATGGACACATGCATCACCCAGCATTACCCAGGAAAGATTCTCAGTGTAATGAACTGTGGTGAATGCAGAGACTCATGGCTGCTCAAGGTATCAGAGTATGTGATTCTTGAGTGTTTAACCCTAAACAGAACACCTATACCAGCACCTCTAAGCCTTAGAACTTTGTGGAAGATGGGTAGAAAAGGTAGAGGAGCCAGAAGATGAGAAGAATGCCTGGAAATGCTCTATTGTGGGCATGACACAGCCCTTGGAACCATGGTCATCTCACAACATCTGCAGTTCCCTGCACAAGACTGGGTCCTTCATCAGCACACCAAGGTTTGGAGAGGGACTCAACAGGACCATACTCCATTCTGCTGAACTATTAGCTATTGGTGCATTGTGGGAGAGAGATAGTCATTGATTTCACAGGTATACTCACAGGAGAGCTAGCCAGGGTCACACAGACAACCCTGGATAAACACTGTGGGCCATAAGATAAAACCCAAAGATATAAAGTGGGAAAGGGACTTGTAGAGAGAGGCACCTGTAGGGGTTGGAAGGGGAATTGGAAATGTGGGAATGAGTGAGAATGGTTGAAGTGCATTATATACATATATGGAATTGTCAATTTTTAAAAATAATATTACAAATATAAAATGAAATATTTATGTGTGTAAAATAATTAATTAAAACTCTTTTCTCTTTGTTTTCTATTATACTGTAATTCAGCAATGACTATTTTTTAGGCTTACAAATGCAGCACATTAAATTATAAGTTAGATAATCTGAGGCTCATATTAATTAATTAAGTAAGTAAGTAAGTACTGCGTGTTAGTTCATCTCATCAATAATAATCATGGAGGCAGTCAATCAAATTCTCTGACAATGGGAAAGGAGAATTTGTCCTAGAAAACCTTAACATTCCTAAGATCATCTGTGTCAGTTTCTTCATCTTCAGAATGAGAACATAAGCTATCATGCACCAAATAATAGTCAATAAATCTTTCATTGGCCATTGTCTAGTACTTGAAAAATACAGTGATTCTGTTTTAAAACCATGGCTCTAAAACAGCACTACTCAGTTGTAAAAAAAATGACATCTTGAATTTTGCATGCAAATGGATGGAACTAGAAAACACTATCTTGAGTGAGGTTACCCAGACCTAAAAAGATGAATATGGTATGCACTCACTCATAAGTGGATACTAGTTATAAACAAAGGATATTGAGCTTATAGTTCATGATCCTAGAGAAGCTAAGTAATAAGGTGAACCCCAAGAAAAACATATACAGATCCACCTGGAAAGCTGAAACAGACAAGATCACCTGACAAAATTGGGAACATGGGGGTTGGGGAGAAGGGAGGATAGAAGGGAAAGAGGAGCATAGAATGGAAAAGGTGAGGAGAACTTGAGGGAAAGGATAGTCAAGAAGGAAGAAGGACAGAGATGAGAGCAAGAGAAGAGATATCTTAATTGAGGGAGCTGTTTTAGGGTTAGCAAGAAATCTGGCTTTAGAGAAATTCTCAGAAATCCACAAGGATGACCCCAGCTAAGACCCTAAGCAATGGAGAAGACAGGGCCCAATCTTGACTTGTTGTGTAGTCAGACTGATGACTATCTTAAATATCACTGTAGCAACTGATAGAAACAGAGGCAGAGACCTGCATCAGAGCACTGGACTAAGCTCCCAAAGTTCAGTTGAAGAGTGGGAAGAATGAGAATACAGCAAAGAGGTCAAGACCATGATAGGTTCACCCACTGAAACAGTCTACCTGAGTTAATGGGAGCTCACCAACTCCAGCCAGCCAGGAAAGGAACAAGCACAAGACCAAACTAGTGCCTCCGATTGTGGTTGACTGTTGTATGGTTTGGGCAGACTGAGGGGTCACTTGCAGTAGCATCAGGATTTATCCCTACTGCATGTAATGTCTATTTGGGAACCTGTTCTCTTTGGATGGATACCTTGCTCAGCCTAGATATAATTGGGAGGGCCTTGGACCTTCCCCCAAAGCAATGTGCCTTACCTTCTCTGAGGAATGGATGGGGGTGGGGTGAGGGCTATGTGGAGGGAATGGGAGGAGGGGAGGAAGTAGGAAGTATGTATAATGAAAAAGACAGTTTGTTTTCTTTTTTAAAAAAGTAAATAAATGAAAAAGAAAAACTTTGTCACTTCTAAAATTAAAAAAAAAATACTTGGTGTAGTGGTCCATGCTTGGGAGGAGTTCAGTGTCAGCTTCAGCTAGATAGTATGTTTGAGGCTGCCCTGGGCCACAGAAGAGTCTACCTCAAAACAGGCAAGCAAACAAACAAAAATGGTCACATAATGAATGAGCATTAAAACATCCTTGATGAACTCTTTAAAGAGGATTTATGAGTGGTGTCTTGGTTAGAGTTTCTATTGCTATGAAGATACACCATAACCAAAAGGAAATCTGGGGAGGAAATGGTTTTTTGGTCTATATCTCTACATCACTGTTCATCACTAAAGGAAGTCAGGACAGAAACTCAGCAGGGCAAGAGTCTGGAAACAGGATCTGATGTGGAGGATCTAGAGGAAGGAGTGTTGTTTATTGACTTGCTTCCCATTGTTTTCTCAGCCTGCTTTCTTATAGAACCCAGGACCACCAACTCAGGGATGGCACCACCTGCAATGCCTAGGCCCTCCCATATTGATCACTTTAAACCTAAAATACATACATATAAAAGGAATTTAAGTAGAGCCACAATACAATGAAGGAGACAATGTCCCTACAAGACATTTTATGTCACCAAGTAACAAGTCACCTTGAGTGTTAGGAATGGATTACATCATCTTGAGTCATTGGTCAAAGGAGTTCCTATAGACCTCTCAAACATCACAGATTACTTTAAAGGCTGTTAGTTGATATCTATAAGATGGTGATAGGACCCTGTTGCCAAAGACCCCACTCACTTATGTCATTGCACAAAGATAAATAAAACAGGTACCCAATTAGAATCTTCACACCCCCCCCCACTGCTAGCATTTGTGGTGCTTCAAAGCACTTTGCATGCCACTAGAGAAGAGTAATCAATATCTCCCAGCTACAAACTCTATGACCTCTACCCATATCATGTCTGTGAGATATATTGACACAATAATGGTACAGATGTTATGGTTGTAACCGACCATCTTAAAAATAGGTTTAAAATCCGCTAAATGAGATGGAGCTCATAGAGCTCATATCTGACACTGCTAAAGTGGCCAAAAACATAAGATGCGATTGTTCCTCGCTTACGGGAAGACTTACTACTATTATTTGTCTAAAGAAACATAGAAATATATTACATAGAAAATTCATTTAAATAAGAAAAAATTCAAGTACAGTTTGGTGAATTATTTTAAACAAGGTACATATGAATACCATTCTTGGTTAGGAAATGGGTTGTGACTAACACATGAGAGGTTGTCATGCCCCTCTCTACTCAAGACTTCCTGTCTCTACCTGTTGCTTCTGAAATGAAAAAACGTACCCATCTCTGTTTGCCATCAGAACACTGGTACAGCTCAGTTTGGTCTTCTAGTGTTTGTAGGCATGGGTTCAAGTTCCCATCCACTTTTTAGCCAATTTATTCTTTCTTTATTCATTAAGATAGATTTGTATACCCTTAGGACAAACTTGCTTGAAATCCATGTCTTCCTGACCTGTTGGAGTTACAGGAGTATCCTACTACATTTGATTTAATAAACTTTATTTTCAAATACTTTCATATATACAGAAGTTTAGGAAGACAGTGTAGAGAGCTCTTCTGTGCCCTTTTCCCATATTTTGTCAATGTACTTTGGAAAAGTTGACATTAACTTTGGGACATTGCTGTTTGCTAAACTGAACACTGTATTAAAATCCCCCCACTTTCCTATTAATACTCTTGTGTGGTTTGGAGATCTAATTTGGGGTATACATAGCATCAAGCTCCCCTCATTAACAAAATCAGCTGCTAGAATTAAAGGGCCTAGGACACTGAGCTGAGACCCCTGAGACTGGATTCTGGGTATCATTTAGCACACAGCGGATGCTCTGCAGCATTGTTTCAACACCAGTCTAGAAGACAGCGCTACACTGCTTTATCTTTGAACTTTAAGGAAGGTTTTTCCCTTATGACACTGGCATTATTCTAGCTTATTGTATGTCCTGAATAGTTTGTGAATATCAAGGCCTCATAGATAGCGTTTTTATTTTGAAAAAAAAAAAAAAACTCCATGACCAAAATCAAATTGGAGGAAAAAGGGTTTATTTCATGTTAAAGTTTGTAGTCTATCATCAAGGAAAGTCATGCAAAAACTCAAGGTAAGACTCTGGACATAGTACCCATGGAATAGAGCTGCTTACTGTGTGCTCTTCATGGCTTGCTCTTCTTGATTTGCTTAACCTGACTTTCTATAACATCCAGGACTACCAGCCCTGGGGATGGGGCCTGTAATCAAATAACTCAGGAGGTAGCAAGCACTCTGTCAATAGAATTTGACCTATAGTTTTCATTGCATTTGAATTGCTACTGTTTTTTTTTTTTGATAATTGAACAACAATTAGATGTAAATTTTAAAAAAAATGCTTAAAGAGGTAGTGAAATAACTGGTTCTATTTTTCTACTGATTTCTTACATATATTCATGGAAAGTATAGAAGTCATCAGCATATATATCAGAGACATGGTAGGCCAACAAAACAAATGTTTGGCCTTTTGGAAAGAAACCCTGGGAGTCAGTCTCTATGTCTCAGGAAAGGGTTGACAGCCAACCCCTGGACTACACAGGTGTAGGAACCCACCAGATTGTCAACCAATTGACTAACAAACCTCACTGTGACTGGGGCAGCCCAAATCAACAATAGAGGATGATATCACAATTATTTTTCCTTATTCTGATGTCTGCTGGTTCCTATCGCAGATTAATACATCCGTGTAACAGAAATATCACCAAGTCACTGAAACTACTTGATTGTGAGTAACA